CCCTGGCTGTCCTGGAACTTGCTCTGTAGCCCAGGTTGGCCTCAAACTCAGGGATCCACCTGCCTCTGCCTCCCGAGTGCTGGAACTAAAGGCATACACCATCATGCCAACATAATTTTTTAAAATTTTGTAATGATTTTTTTAAAAAAATTTGTATTTAACTATGTGTGTGCACGTGTGTGTCCATGTGGATATGTGCATGTAAGTGCCTGTGGGAGCCATAGACATCAGATACACTGAGGCTAGGGATATGGACGGTTGCGAGCTGCCGAATACCAGGGCCAGAAACTGAACTCTAGTCTTCTGCCAGAGCAGTAAGTATGTGCTCTTCACAACTGAGCCAGCTCTCCAGCTGACTTTCCACAGATGCTTACTTTATTGCCTTCCCCTGATGTTTCCTGGGTGCTTGTTATGCAGCTTACTGTGGCGATACATAAGGGATCACATTGCTGAGGATGCATTCAGCCCACCTGTAAGGACTATTTCTAGAACTGAGTTCCGAGTAGTGTTATCCTGCACACTTTAAATGCATCAGCACTTTCAGGGCCCTCAAAGTCCCGTGATAAAGAAATTGGCTGAACTTTGTCTAACCTGTATTTCACACAACTGGTTTTACCACAGACCTCCAAGGTCGATCCCCAATCAAATTACCCTGCAGCCGTACAGCCCAAGTCTAGGCTGAACTTCTACCCAACCTCTTTCCTGGATACACTATGTATTTTATTTTCTCTTCCAAAATGGGTTAATAGGCCCCTCGAAACAAAAACAACAGAAATCACCCCACAAGCACCGTGACATCACAAAACCTTATGCTCATAAACACATATGATAGAAATTAAGGGTGAATGACAAAAAAAAGCTAAAATCCACACAGTGCAATAGTCTGTTCAAATAAATAAACCCTAAAAGTTCACTATTCTCATTTGTCTTTGCTGGCCTGGCCCAGAGCCCTCATGTACTTCATCCCTCTCTCATGGACTCCTACCCGTGTGTACTATGCAACTATCTGAAACCACCTTTGATGCCATCAAATGGGCCTGGACCTTCTGCTCTCACATTCTCCATAGGTTGGTCATGTGTGATGTGAACCAGAAATCATGGTTCCACATTCCTTTGAATCAGCAGACGTCCCCTCAACATGTTAAAGTTCTTCAACCACTGCAGTTTTCCTGCTGGCGAGGATTAGGAAACACTAATCCCCCACATGTTCAGTGGCCACAAGGTGGCACCATGTAAACTGGTAAATGGAAACACCCCACCATATTTTGACAGTCACACTTCAAATTCAGGTGCTCAAATTTGCATTAAGTTCAGAAATACAACCCCAACAGAAAATTTGACCTCTACAGTGTGGATTTTCTTATATTCTTAGTCACATACAAATCTGAACACAGGCAGGATTCATACAACTAACTTTATTCATTCTTCATGTACTCGTTGAGATATTGTTTCCCCAAAGCTTTAACTGGGGCCCTCCAGACTGTGATGCAAGACCCACCCCTGATAGAATTCACCTGGCATTAATGTCTTTCAAATACACACACCTACCATTTGGTGCTGACTCCATGAGAAAGGTCCTTGCTTACTGCCTTGTAGGTGGCTCAGAGATGAACAATGAATACAGAATGGGAAAAGAACATGGCTAAAGGGAGAAAAGGACAGTTGGGAGGAAAAACGAACAAGTAAGATGGGTACTGAATACAAATAAGACTGAGGTTTCTGAGTGTTCTATCTTTATCCCCTTCTCTGCCCAATCTCAGGAAGAGATAACGACAAACACCAGATAACAACAGAGGAGAGACAAAGAGGGGAAGACTCTTTCTTGATGCCTGTATCAGCCAAAGTGACCACTGCGAATTTAGAAATAACGTAGAGCCAGACTTTCTGCAAGATTTTATTTCACTTCATGTCTAATTATGTATGCATCTGTGGGTCTCTAAGCAGGCTTATACATGTGTTGCAGTGCCTGCAGAGGTCAGAAAGGGCACTGGATCCCTTGGAAGGAGAATTACAGGCACTTGCATCCCACCCAAGGTGGTTGCTCACTTGGAATTACATGGGGATTCTCAGAAAGTACAATGTGTGCTTTTTTCCACTGAGCCACCTTTCAGCCCAAGCCACAGTTTTTTCTTAAGTTAAGGCACTCATCAAAAACATAGAAGGCATTGGGTGGGTGGGGGAATCATCCAGGCACTGGTGGCACATGCCTTTAATCCCAGAACTTGGGAGGCAGAGATAAGTGGATCTCTGAATTCAAGGCCAGCCTCGTCTACAAAGCAAGTTCCAGGACAGGCTCCAAAGCTACACAGAGAAACCCTGTCTCAAAAAACCAACCCCTCCAAAAAACAAAAACAAATTATATCCATGTATTTTTCTAATCAAGGAAAAAGACAAAACCTTTTGGAGGTGAATATTTTATGGCATCTGTTGAGCATGGAGGACTCATTCCCAGACTCCTGTGATGTCATGAAAGACACACAAAGAAAGACTTCCAGAGTCCAGTGAGTCTGATTTACTGCATCTAATCACTGAGGTCACAAGAGAAATATTTCAACTTCCACTTTGTACACAAAGGGAGATGTCATCTTTGAAAGGGACAGACGGAAATGAGTGCAAGGACAAGGTGTGTAAGAAGGGAAATGCCTGATGTGTCATTTGATTGCAGAACTCAACACTTAATACTCTTCAGGAGTTTTCAGGGAGACTTGGAACAGGCGCTGTCAAACATAAAGATCCTTCCAACAGGCCTCATGTACTTGACTGAGGAGCCCCTGGCTGCACAAATGTGCAGTCTCGTTCTCCAGGACTGAATTTCATTTGAACTATCCTCTGCAGCGCCCCACCCCTGCCCCAACCCCTAGTCACTGCATCTGAAAACAAGAGCTGCACAGGATTTCCAGAACTAGGAAAATTCAAAACATCTAAAAATTGGTTTAACTCTAAAATTAAGAAAAGGCATATCCAGCCACTGTTTATCATTCCCCCTCACCCACACCTCTGCCCCACCCTTGTGTCTGTGTGTGTGTGTGTGTGTGTGTGTGTGTGTGTGTGTGTGTTATTTCCCTTCCATCTGAAATCCTTTTAAAAACTCTACATAAAAATTATAAGCCATCACAACTGGCCACCAGTTGTGTCAGGAATGAGACAGCAGGCAAACTCTGTGATTGACACTCCCTTTTGTGACAGGACTATAGTTCTACTTCTCTGGGGAATTCTATACTTTGGAAATATTCCAAAATTCATTTCTGCCTCCTACAGCCTGATTTTCTGCATGCATTCTTTCAAAAGCCATCTCCATCCCCTGGGAAGAAAGAAAACTGATACCAAATTAAACAAAAGCAGCCTTTTGAAGGCCTCTCAAGCAAGGCTTCGCAAATAAAAGTGATTTCTTGACTTTGTTCTCCCTTTTCTCTCCACACAAAGTTAAATCCCTGAAGGTTGTTTATTAGTTTCATTTATAAAAGTGCCTCCAGGTAGGCAAATCCACGTCCCTGCTGCAGAAGGAAACCTGGCCAGCTAATTCCCAACACATGAACCACAGCGACAAGAACTCCCACAATGCACAACTGCATCCGCCCCCAGTTTCTTGCCAATGCTGCTCCTTAATTGGCCATGAATAGTTACAGTCAGCCCCAGCAATTTCTGCACCCTGGATAGCATAATCTCCTAAAGCATCAGCTGCAAGCTTAAAGTCCAAATTTTGAAGGAGCATCCAATTAATAATCATAATAATGATGAAAGAGATGCCAAACTGCTCCGTGGATTCTAGCTTTCATAGTGGAAGTTCAGCTAACTGAACCAAATTATTCTCCTACTCTCTCTCCTTCCCCAATATAAGTTGTTTGTATTCCCATTTTTCTTTTTAATTTTTTTTTCTTTTGAGACACTATCATTATGTATCTCAGGCTGGCCCAGATCTATCATTTTTTCCCTTTTTTTCTTTTCCTTTCTTTTTTTCTTTTCTTTTAATCATGGTCTCTTATAACCCAGACTGGCCTCAATCTTGCTATGTAGTCTAGGATGACCTTAAACTTCTTATCCTCCCGCCTCCATTTCCTAAGGACTGAGATTACAGGTATGCGACACCATATCATGTCTCCTCTAACTTGTCTTTAAAAAAAAATAAGATTTATTATGTATACACTGTTCTGCCTGTATGTCAGAAGAGGGCATCAGATCTCACTGTAGATGGTTGTGAGCCAACATGTGGTTGCTGGGAATTGAACTCAGAACCTCTGGAAGAACAGTCAGTGCTCTTAACCTCTGAGCCATCTCTTCAGCCCACTCCTCTAACATTTCTTAAATGGTCTTTTTAGTAAGGAAATGTTCTGCAACTTACGTAGAATCAAACTTCAGATTCCATTCACTAGCCAACACAGACTGAGCAAAGGCACTATCTGAATATAAAGATAATTGCCAACAGCTGATCTCGGGAAATCACAAGTCCAATCAGAAAGAAGTCTCTAAATGAATCCATTGCATTCGTGGAGCAAATATTTCTTGCATGCTTGGCCCACACTATACGCCATAATGGAAATACTGACACGAACCTCCCTTGCTCTCACAGAACTTCCAGGCTGGAGCAGGCACTGACAGCAGATATAAAAAATGGTCTGGATACCAGAAGATCCTAAAGGCAGAATTACAGATCTCAAGAACTGTAATATTAAAACAGGAAATTGGAACAAGATGGCACATGGCAAAAAAAAAAAATGTAAGGAGGTTAAGTCTTAAATCAAAAGATATTGTAAAGAAAGGGACCCAGTCAATTAAAGAATGTGCAAAGGCCTTGGGTGAGACAGGCCCAGCAGTAGTGAGTAACAGCACTTGGCCAGGGTAGCCAGCAAGGTATGAATAAGATGGGCAGCAACAGATGAAGTCAGAGGCAACAATGGAGGGATCATGCCCGACCACAAGACCCTTGTTAGGGCTTTGGTTACATTCTGAATGAGGCAGGAAGTCAAAGGACAACATTGTCAGACATATTTTAAAAGACTCACCCAGGCTGCTTTGTGGAGAATCCTCTGCAGGTAGGTGACAGCATTCACACAGACCAGCTGGAAGGTTTCTAGAAAATCCAGGCAAAGGAAACCAAGGGTTAGAAGGCAATGGTGACGGGAATCTAAACTGGCTGCCTTTGGGACACATTTTCAGTGTCAAATAGGACCATATACTGAGGAACTGGATGTCAGTATTTGAAGGCAGACATTGGTTTTGTTTGGATGTTTTTGTTGTTATTTTGTTTTGTTTTAGTTTGGTTTTCTCTGATGAACTGCTGCTTTAGTTTATGTCTTAGGCATTGCCCAATCGTTTTTGTATTTAAAGTTTGGTCCTCAGCTTGGTACTAATAGAAAATAGTACAGCCAGGTCAAAGGAGGCTAGAGGGCTAGGGTGTGCCACCAAAAGGGATATATGACACTTCTTGTTTTTCTATTTCTCAGATGCCCTAGGACAACAGTTTCTCCACCAAACACTCCTGGTCTTGCTTTCTGACTCACAAAACCAAAGGCAATGGGACTAAGTGATCATGGGACTAAACTTAGGAAACTCTGACCCAAGTCATAACAGGCATTTGACTAGTGATCGGAAGCTGACTAACGAAATGCTCAATAAAGCTTCGAATTGGTGCCCAGTGGGCTGTTAGTCACGTGGCTTGTGGTTACACACAAATTTATACTCCAGTCTCTATCTTCAAGCAACCCTCAGTTACCCTGGACAATGGTGATCAGAGCCACATTTCTCTGTCTTCCCCACTGAGTATCCAAACATTTTCATATCCATGTTATCTCCCTTTCTCCTCACCTCTTCCCTTTCCTTCTAATGTCACCCATCTGGGGCAAAGCACAACCATATCCCAGATGGTTTTGATAGCTCTGACGTCTGTCTCAGCAAAACTTCCTTGGAGAGCTTTCTATAGCCCTCCACCCTGTGGCCATATAATACTCTCCCAGCCTAGAAAGCCTTCCCTGACCTCTCTTGCACAAGTTCTTTTTTTAATGTGCTTACCCATGCACTCTGCCCATATTCTGACCTCTACAAAATATCCCCTTCAGGTCCCATGCCACATGTTCATTCTGCACTGCTGAGCAAGTCCTCGCTCTGAAAACACATGACAACTGGCATTCACTTTACACCCTCTACTTAGACAACAGAGCATTTCATACTTGTTAAGTCTCAGGAAGTGACAATGTCCAGAAAGGACAGTCTTGCCTCAGCTCAAGCTGGACTACAGAGGGATTTTTGGTTGTCAAATAAACGACAACATTCCTCAGGAACTTTTGAAATGAGTTCACACTTGCCAAAGGGAGTCCCTTCCCTTGCCTCTGGCAGAAGGTACATATGGCTCTCAGTTGACATCTAAGTCCAGGCAGGCCTCTAGGCTCCCCCAGGTCCTGTTCAAAAGTACCTAGCTAGCTAGCACCCTGGCCTTTCTCACCTCCTCCCGGCCATAAACTCCCTTAGGCCTACCACAGCTCAGGGCTTCCCCCAGCTACGGAGGCTCCTTATAACCTGCCATTCTCACTTCTCTCTTGCCATTCTCACTATTCTCTCTTCCCTTACAGAGAGCCCCTGGCCTTGCCCTGTCTGCTTTTTTTTTTTAATTTAAATTTTTTATTTTTCATTTTACATTCCAACCCCAGTTCCCCGTCCCTCCCCTCCTCCCATCCCTTACCTCTACCCCTTCCAACCCCTATCCAATTCTCAGAAGGGGTAAAGCCTTCCTTAGGGAGTCAACAAAGTCTGACATAACAAGCTGAGGTGGACCAAGTCCCTCCCCTCTGTATCAAGGCTGAGCAAGGTATCCCACCATAGAGAGTGGGCTCCAAAAGGCCAATTCATGCACCTGGGATGGGTCCAGGTGCCACTGTCAGCCTCCTGCCCCTAACAGATCAAGCCACATACCTGTCACCCTCATTCAGAGGGCCTAGCTATCAGTTCATAGTTTGTGAACTTCCACTGGCTTGGGTCAGCTGTCTCTGTGGTTTTCCCCATCATGCTCTTGACCCCTGCCCCTTGTTCATATGATCCCGCCCCTCTCCCTTCAATTGAACTCAAGGAGCTCAGCCAAGTGCTTGGCTATGGGTCACTACATCTGCTTCCATCAGTTACTGGATTTTGGTTCTACAATGACAATTAGTGTAGTTATTATTGTGATTCAAGGGGAAGGCCCATTCAGACACCCTCTCTCTCCATTATTGCTAGGAATCTTAGCTGGGGTCAACCTTGTAGATTCCTGAGAATTTCTCTAGCACCAGGTTACTCCCTAACCCCATAATGGCTCCCTCTATCAAGACATCTCTTTCATTGTTCTGCGGACCTCCCTCCCCCAACTCCATCTTCTTGATCCCTCATGTTCCCATCCCCCATCCCCTCCCTTGTACCATCCCTCCCAATTTACCCAGGGGATCTTAACTATTTTCTCTTCCTGGGGCCTTCCATGTGTGTCCCTCTTAGGATCTCCCTATTTTACCTAGCTTATCTGAGTTTGTGGATTGTAGCCTGGTTATCCTTTGCTTTTCAGAGGGCTTATCTCCAAAATATATAAAGAACTGAAGAAACCAGACACCAAGATACTAAATAATCCAATTAAAAAATGGGTACAGAGCTAAACAGAGAATTCTCAACAGAAGAAACTCAAATGACTGAAAGACATTTAAGGAGCTGCTCAACATCCTTAGCCATCAGGGAAATCTAAATCAAAACACTGAGATACCACCTTATACCTGTCAGAATGGCTAAGATCAAAATGGCTTAAGCTGGAGAGGATGAGGAGTAAGGAGAAAACTCTCTATTGATTGTGGGAGTGCAATCTTGTACAGCCATTTTGGAAATCAATATGGCAGTTTCTCAGAAAATTGGGAATCAGTCTACCTCAAGACCCAGAAATACTACTCTTGGGCATATACCCAAAGGATACATAATCATACCACAAGGTCATTTTCTCAACTATGTTAGTAGCAGCATTATTTGTAATAGCCAGAACATGGAAACAACCTAGATGCCCATCAATGAAAGAATGGATCAAAAAATGTGGTATTGTAAGACCCCTGGAAGCTCAGGCCTCCAGGATCTCAGCCCAAGACCTCAGTCACCCCAATCACCAGGCAGAGTTGAAAGCTTGATGCAAACTGTATGAGGCTTTATTATAGTTGTTTAACAAGCTAATCCCATGTTAGTTCCGGTCTTTCATCCACCCACCATGGCAGATGGCTAGGAAAGACAGCTCAAGGCGTCTGCATAGAGATCTTATAGGGCAGCGTAAGGGAAGTATCTAGGGGTAGGCACAATCTCAGGATTGGTGTGGCTCCAGGCTTGGAGGGTTTGCTCTGTGTTGATTGGTCAACTGGTTGTTATGGCCCATAGGCCCTCCCAGGGTGGTTGCTATGCTCTGAGCGTCATTGCTGTGCACTTGTCCATTAAGCACACCCAAAGCCATAAAACATAGTGCCACCAGCTAACTTCTAATTGGTTCCTTGCCATGAGGCAGGCATCTGACCTCTTAGTGACCAAGGCAAGGTCATGGCAAGCCCATGTTACTGTCATGGCTGCCGAAAGGGGCAGCTGGTCCCTTCACTATGTGTCTTGTTGTTCTCTCTCTTATCCATAATTCCTATACCCCAATCATGCAGGGGCCATTTCCGTGGTTTCTTTCCTGTGCCCCTTGCATACATACACAATAACTAAATTACTTATTTTTAATAATAAGTAAACCAAAGCAACACTGCCCCCTCTTTGTCTAAGTTACCTGAAAAGAGGAACTGAAAACCCCAAAGAATTCTGAGTATCATCCTTGAAGAAGACAGAATCACAGTTACTTCTGACTCCATCTTTCTGTGTTCTCCCTGTCATTTTGATTCATCCACTAATGATCTTTTTAGACAAACAACATGCCACAGAAAAACAAAACTTATACATAGGCTTAATGACTAAGAATGGGATCACAAGCATATGACATCCAAAATCATAATCAAACCAATATTAGGCTTATAGTCAAACATATCACTGGCTTGGGACAATAATTGGAAATGGAATGGGCATTTCTGAGCTGCTGATCATCACTGCTTCACCATCACTGACATCTCAGGGTACAGACAAGGGGCCTCAGAATGACAGAAGCAAAAAGGAAAAACTATGGCTTTTAGTCAACCACTTACATTCCAAGCAGGAATCCCTGTTATATTTCAAAACGCCATGCTTCCTCCATCCTTATGTACTATGTTCCTTGGGGCAAGATATCACTGACTCACCACTACCAATGGCAAAGCAGTTATGGTAGGAGCTTCACCCCAGCCCCTGACATCCATATACCCAAAGAGTCTGGGATGCTATAGTGGAAGCTTCACCCCAGTCTCTGGCATTCATATACCTCAAAAGTCTAGGATGTCATGTTGGAAACTTCACCTTAGGCCCTGTCATCCATGTGATTAAAAAGTCTGGAATGTTCTGATGGAACACCCAAGCCCCCTTCCCCTATCTCCCTCCAAACCTTGCTGCATCTCAGAAACCCTGCCAAATGATGACCCCCTCCTCCAGAAATGCTCAAGACCACTCCCACTGGGTATTTAAACTGTCCCCCAGTAAAACAGACATGTGGTTTTCTAGTCTTTCTTTTTAGTCTCCTCTCTGGGGGGCTAGAAGGCCTTTTGGGAGTGTTGTATGCATTAAACAAGGGCCTTTTCTAATTGGGTTTGATTTGATCTGATTTAGATTGCTGCATTAATGGAGAGGCTTACTGGGGTGCAGAAAATTTTCAAGAGCACACCCCAAGAAACTATGTCCTTACATTCCTCAAAAGAGAGGTGCATTCCAAACCCCTGTAAGAATTCCCTCTATTAATACTTTCTTTTGCAAGGCAAATATGGCCTATGTTTAACTGACATAAATAACAAATACTTGTGAGTGCCCAACTCAGAAGAAAACACTCACATTCCTTTGTTTTTTAGAGCCTGGAGCCTTAGGTAGAAAGAACCTAAGGCTTCTCTCAGGAAGTGACATTTGCACTTAGAACTGAGAAATCAGTTAGAAGTTGCCAGACAGACCAAAGCAGGAAATGAAAAGAGAGTCTTCTTCCTCAAGGGCAGGCAAGGACACTGGGCAAAAAGAAGAAAAGGCTGGCACTGTGGTACATGCCAGCCATCCCAGCACTTCAGAGGCTGAGGCAGGGGGATGCCAACTTCAAAGCCAGGAGGGGAATCATAAGAAGATGTTGTCTTGAATAATAAAGAAAAGAAGGAAGGGATAAAGGGAGGGGACAGTTACATTTGAGAAAGTTAAAATAATAATAATAATAATAACAGTAACAATAATAGTGATAAAAATGACTCTAGAAATGGAGGAAGAAAATGGCTCCAGGAGAGGTAATCAGAAGATAAGTCAGATGGGCCTTTCTGGCCCAGTATAAGGAACATTGAGATGGATAGGCAGGCAGTGAGAGTGGCTTCAAATAATCCTGAGTGTGCAAATAATCCTGTATCCCCAATTCTCTGCCAAAATGGATCATGGTTCAGGGTTGTTCTGTGTTGCCCTGGCT